AAATCTGACCTCAGACACATAACACTTACCAGCTGTGTGACCCTGGGCAAGTCACTTAACCCCCATTACCCAACCAAAAACAAAACAAAAAAATAAAAAATATTTTTCAGTCATTCACTTTTCAGGTAAGGAAAACTGAGGCCCTGAGAGGTTAAGTGACTTGCCCAATGTCATAAAAGTGGCAGGGCCAGAATCTAGATCTAGGCCCTCCTGACTACTTATTCAGCCCTAACCTTACTTTGCTGACCTTGTTTCATATCTCCAATTGTCTAAAGAACATATCAAATTGGATGACTAGCAGACATATTAAACTTGACACGTCCAAAACATAATTTATCTTTTCTCTAAAACCCTCCCCTCCTCCAAACTTTCCTATTACTGTCAAAGGCACCATCTTCTCCTCAGTCATCTAGGCTGCCAATTTAGGTGTAGACTCTTTACTATCTCTCACCCCCCCCCCCCCATATTCAATCTGTTACCAATACCTGTACACTTAACCTTGCAACATCCCTGCTTCTGCCCTCTGATATTTTACCACTCTGATTCAGGCCTTCGTTTCCACAAACCTGGACTACTGCAGTAGCCTGCTGGTCAGTTGGCCAGTTCTAAGTTTCTCCCACTTCAGTCCATCTTCCATTCAGCTACCTAAGTGATTTTCTAACCTTATGTTCTCCTCCTTTCCCTATTCAATAAATTCCAATGGCTCCCTATCATCTCTAGGAACAAATACAATATCTTCATTTTGGTGTTAATGTTTCATAACTTCCTCCTTTCCCAGTCCCATCCATTCACCTTTCTAATCCTTAACTTCACATACTCCTTGATTCAGTGACAGAGGCCTCCTTGTTGTTCCCCAAACAAGACACATTCTATCTTTGTGTGTCCCGGGGGGACAGCCTGGAACTGAAAAGCTCTCCCTCCTCATCCCTGCCTCCTGCCTTCCTTCAAGCCTTAGCTAAAAATCTCACCTTCTACAGGAAGCTTTCCCAATCTCTCTTAATTCTAGTGCCTTCCCTCTGATGATTATTTCCTATTTATTTTGTATATAGTTTGTTTGTAGATATTTGTTCCTATGTTGTCTCCCCCCATTAGATTGTAGTCTCCTTAAGGGCTGGGACTGTCTTTTTGCTTTTGTATCCCAAGCCCTTAGCACAGTGCCTTAAGTAAGGACTTAATAAAGGCTTACTATATTCAAAACCCTTACTGCTTTCCAATATACCACACTATCAGACCATCTCTAATATATCTAATAAACCTCACCAGATTAACAAACCTAAAACATCATTCCAATCATTTCACTCATATAAAAAACAAAACAAAACTTCAAAGGTTACCCTCTATCTTCAGGATGAGTTCCAAATTCAGCCTCATGAACCTGCCTGCCTTCCACTGACCTTTCCAGCATTATAATCAGTTTTCTATGTAAACCCTCTGCTACCACCAAACTTTTTTTTTAACTAATGCCCTAAACACATCTTTGTCCCACTTGTTTATTGGCAATTATAGTCTTGTATAGTACTTGGCACATACTAGACAATAGAGAGAAGCAAAAATGCTTGTTGATTGATTCTGCACTCTCCTATCCTTGCTTCCTGAAATAATACTCTTCTACTCCTTTACCTTATCCAGATTTTAATCATCATTTAAGATCTAGCACACCACTTTTGTCTTTTCATAAAGCAATTCTTGATCACTCCAGCTTGATCCCTCACTTCTCTAGCAATTATAGGCTGATTCATCCATTTGCAACCATAGTGTACTGCTGTCATTTACTCTATTATTCCTAAATATTATTTCTGTTATTATTTTTTCAGTTAGGATTGTCATGCCTCAAGTACATTATAAACACTTACCAACTTTACATATATCTATTTTTGTATATTCCATGACCCTCAATGAATCCCTGTACCTAATAAGTAATTGAAAAATGTTTATTAATTATGTTTAAGTATTATAATTTCTGCAGCACCTAGGACCATGCCTTAAACTGAATGTTGGAATGCTGGAAAAAAACTTAAGTAGATTTCCTTTACATGCAAAACTATCCATGAAATGCAGACGAAAAGAACATTACTCTTCTTCAAATCAATAAACATAAATTTCTTCATCTAAATTAATGTTTATAAAGTCTTAATCTACAATTTTAATAGTAATCTAATTAGCACAAAAGCCTTAAATTGATGGTCTCACAAATTCTAATAACATTTTAAAATGAAAGCTACTCAATTAAAAGAATAACTAATTTTCTTCCCACTGTTCAAATTGGTGAATTACTCCTTTAGACAAGGAAATACTTTAGTTGTATCAAAGTAACTTGGAGATAGCTTTAATCACCATCAAAATAAGTTTCTTCAAAAAAATTCCAAGTGTGACAACAGTCTGAATCAAAGCAACCTGAAGGACTTAACACAAGCATATACGTCAAAAAAAAAATGTCAAACGCTGGCAAATATTGCAATGGGTTTTGTTTGTTTTAAACTGCCAACACTGCAACAAATTCAAGGATCTCAATCCTAACTTTTCTGGATCTTCGATAAAGCTGAAATCAAGTATTTTGAAAGTTATTCCCAACCAAGCCCAATTTAGTTTTATGCCTACAAGCGAGTTAACCTTGCCTATTTTTGCCAGTTTTTTCTGTCAACAAAAATAAAAAATTAACTATACTTGGGGACATCCATTGAACCTATTACCTAATTTCTCCTGTGAGTCATTTAGGTGTTCTCTCAAGTGTCTGGCAACGTGATTACACAATTCCTCCATGCACTTTCCTACAAATGTGCAATCACTCCACTCACAAGGCAGAACCAGCTCGGAAGGCTTTATCCTCTTCCTCGGGGCCATTACTGAGGAAGATTTTTAAAAATGAGCCGAGTGGTCTGATTTTTCCGGAGACCTTGGGGAGGAGAGACTTTAGTTAAGCGTCACAGGTGAGAAAACGCTGCTCTAGACGGTCCGGGGGGGGGGGGGGGGGGGGGGGGAAGGGGCGCTCCTGCCTCACTAACCCCCCAGGCCCGGGGCTGAAATGGAGACTGGGCCAATGCCCTGAGGAAGGATAGTAACGTACCCCAGCCCACCGTACCCCTCCCCACCCTAGAGGAACCCCCTCCGAAGCTCGGACTCAAACGCAGCAGACGACTGCCATCTTCCTCACAGGAGGAAGGAGAGGGAGAGCAGAGAGGAAAGTACGTCAACGTCACTCAACGTCCGCAACGTTAACGAGCGTTCCAAACGGGCACCAGCCCCGCCTTCGATCTCTGGCTGATGGGGGAAGGGAAGGGATGAGGGAGGGGGGAGGGAAAAGGAAGGGGGAGAGAGGAGTGGAGGCAGGGAGGGAAGAGGGGGAGAAGAAAAAGGGGGGAGGGGGGAGTCTTGAGGAGAAGGAATCCAGGCAGAGCTAGACCAACCATCTTATACAATTATGAAAATATTCTAGGGGAAAGTGGTTTTCCAGAGTCATCTAGACCAAAGTGTAATTGGGAACACCTGGATGTATCTAGAGAGTTATTAATGTGGTTGTGCATGATGATAATATTGATTTTTTAAATTAATTTTAGTTTTCAACTTTCACTTTCATAAGCTTTTGAGTTTTAAATTTTCTCCACCTCTCTTCCTGATTCCTTCCCCAAGACGGCTTGCAATCTGATATAGGCTATACATATATATTCCTATTAAACATGATAATAATGGATTTTTAAAACATGTTAGATTTTCACTTCACATTTTTCCCTGTGCTTTATATCTATTTTTTTGTTCTATGGAAAATCTTGTAAAGTAATCTTAACATGTTTGAAAGAAATATAAAGAAACAAGGGAGAATGTTGGGTGAGTGCCTTTTAAAAAAATTTCAGTGGAAAAAACATTTAAAACATCAAAACCAGGGCACTTATGATACAGTGGCATTGGTGGAAAAATAGTTGTAATTTTGGGGTATGGTTTAATACTTTAACTTTCATATTAAAATTGTCATATCTATTTTTGTATTTTCTAATTTGAAGTGCTTTTACAAAGTGTTTACTTGCTGAGTAACATTAATTATCAAGCTTCCCTCCTGCAAAGCATTACCTCTTTACTTTAAAATATTTTTTTATCTTGAGTTTTGCTGAATTTTGTGGAAAACCATCTAGTTTTTTTCTCTGTTCTTTTAGAACCACAGAATGTCATTTAATAGCTTCTTTCTGTCAAATATTTCACCTAGAATTAATAATATTTTATGTAGTTCCCTTTCAATGTCAGGTTAAAAGCAATGCCACAATTTTTGTCAGTGGCTAGTTTTGATACCTAATAATAGTTCCTTGTAGAGGAAGGCAAGGTAGGCAGCCTAGGGAGCAACATCAGGGGTAAAGAAGAATTTCAGTTTCAAGGGACATTTAATAAATTACTTCATGTAAATATATATTTAATGCCATATAATTCCAGTCTTCAAGGTACATAGGTATTTATTTTGTGATTAACTGCATATTTTATAGGGAATGCTTAAATGCCTCTAATGATCAGCAACAGATTCAAGGGTGATATATGTTTACTTCAAAGAGTGCACAAATGCTTTGTTCTAGTCTTTTACTCTTTGTGTCTAATCAAAATTCTTCAGATTAAGCCTATATTCTCCAGTTTATTTTCAGAAGTAGTTGAACAACAGTCTCTTTCTAGAATGGAGATTTTTCTTTTTCACTGAAAAGTATTATGTAATTTAGATGTAAAAATTGTTTTAAATAAAGAACCTAGTTTAATTTAGTAGAAGAGCCAGGTCATAGATTGCTTTAGGGGAATAAAGACAACAATATACTAGTCATTCAACAAATGAATTGATATTCTTAGGCACTATATGATCTTTAAGTGTTGTCTGATTAAATTGCATTTCGTGTAATTTTAGTTCTTAGGTATATTTTTATTTTTTCAAAACTGGTAAACCATGTATGATATATCAAAGAGTATTCAGTTAACCAAAGAAAAAAAAAGATGCATTCCTCAATTATTTTGAATCAAAATGAGCTTACTTGTAAATTGAAATTTTAATCTATGAACCATTTGGTGCAGGCCTATAGAGGATAAGAGGTTCTTCCTTTACATCATGAATAGTGATTCAACATTTTGTGCATGAAACATGCAGAAATAGAGTAATTGCCGGTTCCTCTAGGTACACTCCATCCTCTCCATCCAATACTTAGTTTTCTTCTCTGTAAAATTAGATTATGCTTTAGAACTTCTACGGTTCTTTCTTGCTCTAAATCTGTGATTCTGTGATTATTCTTATCCCATTTGTAAGGGCTCCTGTTCTTACCCTCTACTTTTAGCTTGGATGATGGGAAAGTAGAAGATAGAAACGAATAGCCAATGACTCCAGTATTTTTTTTGAATATCTATTTTTAATGCATAACACTGGATATGGCAGTTTATATATACTCTTTATACATCCATATTGCCTGTTTTAATTCTATTGAAAAGAACTCTAGTTTTGGAGTCAAAAGACTCGGGTCTGAGTATGAGCTTTGCCACTTGATAGCTGGGTGACCTTGTTACCTCTCTAGGTTTGTCTGAATGATCCATTTAGCTGGACTGTTGTGAAGCTTAAATGAGAATATATGTCAAGCATCTCATACCTATATTTAGGTGCTATACAAATATGTTATTTCAAGTGGTTTGAAAGAATGCCTTTCTTTAGCAAAGCTAATACATAACTATAGATAACACACCTCAATTTACTAGAAACAGAATTATCTTCAGAAAATAAAGGATGCTGAGACACATGTTCTCTTCTGTCACAGATCCTCAAAAGCAAGATTATTAAAGGTGAATTTAGGTACTTAAAAATTTCTACCCTCCTAACCCTTTTGTAACTAGGAAATAAAAAGGATTAGAATTCGAATGGTAATATCACAGATAATCATTCCTATTTTTTTCCTCTACAAAGTTTCTACTTGAACAGCTACCTTTTTTTTTTTTTTTGCTTACCCAATTATGTTATTTCAAATTTGTATTTCTTTAGTCTTCTTTTTGGTCTGTGCTTGCTCAAAAATACTACGTGTATCTTGTTGCTCTTTATGAAGCTCACTAGCACCTCAGTGGTTGGGGGTATATTTCAAATAAAGAGGTTTTGGGGAGAATTGGTAATGGACCAAATATACATCCACATAGTGCCTACTTTTTAAGATGAGAAGTTTAGCAGAGTCCATTAATTTAAAGTCAGATAGTACAGCACCTTTTATTTGATCATCATTTAAAAAAAAAAACTGAATGGAACCAGAGACAATCTCTCAAAAACAGTCTTAAATACCTTTTTAAAAATCCAATAAAAGTCACCAATACGGAATTTAGATGTAAAACCTTTGGATACTCTGAACAGGTGAAAAGAAAAGTGTCATGTATATGAAATATACTTTCCATACCTGGAATTCTCCAAAACAGTTTAATATTAGATACAGTGTAATGGCACTTAATACAGTACATTTTCCTGAGAGAAAATATCACAAACCATGGTCTCTTGGGAGGCATCATTTTTCTTCTCCTTTCAACATGCAGCACATAATCAATGTTTTAACAATTATTATTGTACCCTGTGTTATGTTTTTATAAGATTTACATTGCCATATTGCATACAACTACACAGAAGTAACTTTAAAAGGAATTCACAGGCAAAAAAATAGGTCCTTAAAGATTTATTAATTCATAACTAAGATGTCTTCACAGGACTAGATGACCACAAAATTTCTACTTTATTTTTTTTCCTTTGCAGCTAGGTCTGTGCACCATGGTATATGTTTTTTTAAAAATTAAATAGAATACTTTCTGTCAATAAACAATCATATATACACAGAACAATATACAGTATATCTCTTTTGGCTGAGTAGTACTTTTTGCTATCTATTTTCTGATATGCAAATTCACAGATTTTTTTACTGTAAGATATCTACTTTACCTCAAGTACTGAACTCTTTAAGTCAAAGTACACATTTGTACTTTGGAAGAAAACTTGAGTATTCTGAATTTCACTAAGAGTCCTCATGCATCGAAATAGTATATTATGAGCTTTAAAAAAATAGGAGAGGCATAGTATGGCCACAAAATTAATAAATTAGACTATTTCAAACATTATGACACTGTAGGCACAGAAAAACTTCCTTGGGAAAAAATAAGTTGGTGATTTTAAAAGTATTTCATGGGGAAGATGAAAAGCTTTGTTGCTTTGAGTTATTTCAATTATAAGCCAACCTATTTTTCTCCTTACTAGGTTATTTTAAAAAACATTTTACTGTCAGTGATTTTCAGTTACTCAAGAACTCTGGAGCTCTTTAAAAAATCCTGATAGCCTGGAATTCCAGACTACCTGTGCTTGGAATATGTCAGTTGTATTTTTAAAGAAGAAACAATAAAACACTGCACAAAAGTCCTAATTTCATGAAATTGCTGTGCTTGCAGTACTGGATGGTTTTCTTATAAAATATTGTTTGCACACATATACACATAGATACATAGATACATAGATACATACATCAAAAAACACAGTATGAAAAATTAAATTGTCTGCCATTGCCATTTCTTTTTTTGTTGGAACCCTGGACTTCATAGGACTGAATTTGGAAACCAGTGGACTACAATACTAAAAATTGTTCTGTTTTAAATATGAATCTTCCCATATAGTCTTGGGCTATTGTCATGATATCTGTGATTATAACAGACTTCCATTATAAAATCTAATTTAAGTGATGTAGATTTTGGAGCAATTCAACAGAAGAGGGTGGGGTTAGTGTAGGAAAGGAAACTCTCAGAAGGTCCCTTTCAGCTTTTTGATTTTGTGTTGGAAAACCATTCCCATTTTATGAAAACAGTACACTCCATAAAACAAATCATATTTTGTCTGAAAACATCTACAATTTTGATTAAAGTTAAATGCTAAGGAACTGCCATTCTTACAGTAAGCCTCATTGACAACAACATTAACACGGCTTTATTTTTCACTAATCACCTAAAGACTGTTTCTTCAAGGTAGACCTCTTAAACATCTACATCAAACACAATAAGTTACAGGCAATATAAGTTAAATTTTCTTCCCAACATAGTTTAGAAATTTCAGAAGTGATAAATTTGGGGGAAAAAATGTTTTCCTTATAACACTTGTTTTGGGAGATTGGCCACTCAATACTCTGTTACCCTAAAAAACAAACAAAACCCCGTAAGTTTTTGCTCCTTGCTGTAATGGTTGATGTGATACCAAGAGGGACAATGAAAGAACCTTGGGCATTATCTCATGTCTGTATGTGTGTAGCTTATATGTATGTATACACATATCTACATACATACACATCTACACACAGAGAGATATATAAGGTGTGTGTCTATATATATATGTGTGTGTGTGTGTATACAGATGGGATTGCAAGGAAGAACAAATAAGCACACTGATTAAGACCTCAATTATATTTCCATTATAAACTTTAATCATTGCTAAGGCTAACCTCTTTTGCCTTTCACTAAATTATAATGCCTTTGAATTTCACAAATATATTTTAATTTCACAATGTATTAGTCAACAATTTTATATTTATAAAATTGCTAACAAAAATTTAACATTTGAAATTGAAGTATAAATAAAAGAAAAATACATGAATATTTTAGTTGTTCTTCCCTGCTACTTACATTAGTCTTAGGATAGACTTTTAGATATTAAAGTATCCTGAGGTTTTTCCAAAGTAGATACTAGAAATGACAGTATTTTTTATTTGCCTTTTTGTATCACAGAAATGTCCCCAAATATCTGAATAGCTGTGTAAATGGGGATACAGATAATTTTTCAGTGCAAATTATTTTATAAGGTTAAGAAAGATGACACTGACCACAGCAGGCTCCTGAATGTACAGTGTCTTTTCAGGAGTAAAAAGAGAAGGAAAAAGAATGAAAATGGCAAGTTACCGAAGATATTTTGATGTGTAAATTAGAAAATTCACATTATAGATTTGTTCACTATGACAACCTTTCAACTGAAAATATTGCTTGAAAAAGGCATTAAATATGTTATTTTACATTTGGTTTTAGTACATGGTTGCAAGAAATTCAGTTAGGTGAAAATTCAAAGAGGACAATGTTACTTTTTGTTTACTTAATTGGCTTCCAAAATTAAGGAAACTGACCTAACATTTGTTTTATAACTGCAGAACAAATTTCTGTCACATTTAAATCCCCTTTTCCATTTTTAACCATGTTTTTTAATATGTGCTTTAAAAGACAGCAACTTTGAAAAAGAAAAAAATGCCATTTAGTTTTGAGTACCTTACTTCTCTTGACATTTAAGTTTCCCATTCTCCATCCTAAGAAAATTAATAAAGTTTTTTGTTTTTAAATAGAAAGGTTAAAAGTATTTGTGACTTCTTTACCTTATTTAGTGGATTGTGATCTGAACTTAATTAAAAGTTAGCCACCTCTCAAGTTTAGGCTGATAGAATTTAACACATGGATATGGAGGATTGGAGACAGTTTTGGACAGGCTGGGTTTCATTTACATTGTGATCAATGAAATAGTTGGGATTTTTTTTTTACTCTTTGTTTGGTATATAACAACAAATCTCAAAGTTTTCAAAATTTTTTTATTCCTTACAGTTCTCATAAAAGTTTTTGTAATATAACTTAATAACTGTACATCTGCTGTTGTTGCTCAGTCTGAACTTGTGACTGTCCTGTCTGTGGCTGTACTTGCTGTTGCTGGGGCTGTAGAACATCAGTCTGAGGCACTGCCCTCCAGGTTAGAGGATGCTGTTCACTTAGCTGGTTCCCCAGGGGAGTAATGGAATTGACAAGGGTAGTTAGATTGATAAAATGGGCAACAGACTGTGGATTAGAGGCCTCTGGCTGAGAATGAAGCTGAATGTCATTTTGGCGGTTGTGCAACATGGCAGAGCCACTGACAGTGTCAAATGTCACTGTCAGAATGGAGTTGTCAAGTTGTAACTGGCGTTCCGGAGTAGTGAGATGGCCAACAGCCACTGGCTGAAGGTTTGTAAACTGGGTTCCAGCTGCAGTGGTGATGGGGGTAACTGTAATGTTGGTCAAACCGACTGAACTAGATGGTGTCGTGACGTTTGGATCACCCAGGGTCACCACCACCTAGAGAGAATCACATAAAATCATATATTTATGTTTAGTAGTTTCTTCATATTTTAAAACATTTCATGTACCACGATGGTAAAGTTAGTATAAGGCAGTGGAAATGGGCAGGGAGTAAATAAAACTTCTTGCCTCAAAATAGTAGTATTTTCATGAAAGATTAATTTAGATTAACTTAGTGCTAGAAGAGATTCAGGTAAAATAAAAGAATATAAAGATATAAAGTTGAGAAATATAAAGCCTTAATCAAAAATTAAGAGAACCAACTCTGAAAAGGACAGAGGAACAAAGTTCTCAGTCTACTTTAATACTCAAGATAAATTTGTTATTGGTGATTGAAAATTCACACTCTAAAGATAAGGCTAGAAGATCTAGAATAAAATTTACCACACAGGTAAGCAGTAATGAAAAAAAGCGTCATTCTTTTACTAGTGGGATAAATAAATGTAATAACTTAGAATCTAGTTAACAAAGAAGAGGTGTTCTGATATCCGGGAACACACACACAAACACACACACACACACACACACACACACACACACACACACACATTTGGTGAAAGGTATCCCTAATCCGCAGATTCCAGTATAAGAAAATTTTTAAAAAATTATGGGCCTATTATTCTCTTTAATAACTTAAATTTCTATGGAATGGGTCTTTAGTTTTTAGGATCCCAACATTTATGACTAGACTGTAGATGTTACTCTACTCTTAGAATAAAGGACCAACTGCACTGACCTGCTGAATGCTTTGTACAGCAGAATTTGTTTCATCTCCCACATTCCCTGTGAATTCAGCTTCTTTTTCTGTGTATTCACTGAACGTGGGATCCTCAGATACCAGTGCTTCTTCCTCTTCATCTGGTTTTTGCTTTCGTTTGTGACTTCGTTTGGCAACTTTTATATGTTTCCCTTCTGGCAATTCTCCCTGGTCCAGAGCAAGTTCAGGCTGTAGAAAAATAATACTTTTAGTAACTGACAAGGTTATGTTGGTAGGATCACATAATAACAAAAAACTAACCACAAAACAGCCATAATACCCATAAAAAGGAAAAGTCCAAGTACTCAAAGATTATCTTTCAGGATCTATAAATAAATCTTAAACTAATATAAAAACAAGTATTGGTTGTTCACAGTAATAATTATCTTGCTGTATCTGGGGATATTCTATATTATTTATATTCTATATAACTCTGGTCTGTGCCCTCCCATAAATCTACCACATTGGCTTTCCAACCTTTTTCTAGATTTCTTGGCATTATATGGAAACCAAAAGAACAAAAATATAGGCTATCACTCTTTTTTTTTTTCCTGAGGCAATCGGGGTTAAGTGACTTGTCCAGGGTCACACAGCAAGTGTTTGGTCTGAGGCCGGATTTGAACTCAGGTCCTCCTGACTTCAGGGCTGGTGCTCTATCCACTGTGCCACCTAGATGCCCGTAGGCTATCACTCTTGCTGATCAGTCCATCTTTGCTACTGGTCATAAATTCCATGATAATACACTAAACCAGAAAGACATTTGTAGTTAGTGGGCTATATAGGTGAATGAGTCTCCTTTGAGTTACCTGAACTATACCAATTGAAGAGGCATCAATGGTGGTTGTTTCTGGGAGGTGATCCAAATCATCAATCCTAACTGAGAGGACCTACAGTGAAAAAACAAAAGCAGCAAGCTTTACAAGTCATTGAATTTGAGGGACCAGCTGATTAAGTAAATGTTAGGCATGTGGAATGGTAAGCAAAAAATGCTTCATTATAACTGGAATAATACCTATCATAATTTCCTTTTCTTTCCTTTTCATCTTTGATGGCAGTACTAAGAGGCAGCAAAATAGCCTAAAGATCATTAGCCAAAGGAAGGAAAAAAAGTGAAGGATGTGGTTAAACTACAAATTTGTATTAAATCCTTGAATAACAGAACTGAGAAAAAGAAATGAAGACATTGAATAGATTAGAAAACTGGAAAGGAAGAAAATATATGTGAAATCAAAAGCACCCCACCTCTTTTTAAAAACTTATTTTCTACATATTTCAGTTTTCAGCTTGCTTGAGTTTAGAGCAGCTCAGATTTGTGTCCTTCTTTGCAGCACAAGAGATGCAGCTGACAAATATTCCATTTGAAGAAAATTGGTTATACAAAAATTGATTACACAAAAATCTGAACTTTTTCAAAACTGTTTCAACAGATTAAACTCTTATTTAGGGAGTGATTATATACATTATAAAAAGACTCACAAAAATTGAAGGCAGGGCTCCTTTAGACAGCCAATTCTCATAGAGAAGGAAAGAGTTTATAACCATACAAGGGATAGATAAAATGATAGTAGATAAAAATAGTTAGTTTTGATTACATAAAACTGAAAAGGTTTTGTACAAACAAAATTAAGGCAGTTAAAATTAGAAAGGAAATGGTGAATTGAGGGGAAAAAAAATCTTTGGAGTAAACTTCTCAAATAAATGTCTGATGTCCAAGCGATATAAAGGAACTGATTTAAATATATAATAATGACTGCCATTCCCAATAGGCAATGCAAGGTAACAAGCATTTATTAAACACTTGCTATGTACCAGGCCTGGTGCTATGTGCTGGGGACACAGAAACAAGGAAAAAGAAAGACAGTCCTTGCCCTTAAGGAGCTTACAATCTTATAGAGGAAAAGAACATATATAAAAGATAGGTGGAAAGTGGGGAGAGGTGAGGAGGGAAGGTACCTGGAAAAGGGACATGATGTTTAAGTCTAGAAAGTCAGAAGCACAGCTAGGAGGGTAGTGAAGTCCACCCTGGGCACCTACAAAAATGGAGGTCCCAGGAGGAACTCATCAGTGGGAGAAGGGGGGGCCACCGTAGTAAAGGGATGTTCTCGGGTGAAAAGGCTGTAAGGGATGATGGATTTGCAAAGGTAGGAATGCAGAAGAGGCATAATGTTGAGGTCCAAAAAAGTCAAAAGGACAATGGTCTAGGCCTGTCCACAAAATGCAGGCCCCAGGACAAACTACTAATGGGAGAAGGGCGCCAGCATAGCAGAGGAATGTTCCAGGGTGAAAAGGCTGTAGAAGATGATGAATGTTGCAGGGTGAGGATGCAAATGAGGCATGGTGATGAAGTCTAAAAAGTCAGAAAGGCAAAGAAGGTTAACTGGCCTAGGTCTGTCCATAAAATGTAGGCCCCAGGACAAACTACCAATGGAAGAAGGAAATCTGCATAACAGATGTTCCTAGGTGAGAAGAATGTAGGAGATGATGATATTCCAGGGTGGGAATGCAGATAAGGCATAGTGCTGAAGTCCAGTATGTCAGAAGCACAGCTGGGAGACGAATGAGGTTGGCTGGCCTGGGATTCTCCAAAAAATGGAGACCCCAAAAGGAACTCACCAATGGGAGAAAGGGCTGGCATAGCAGAGAGATGTTCCAAGTTGAGAAGGCCACAGAGGATGATGGATGTTCCAGATGAGGCATGATGTTGAAGTCTGGGAAGTCAGAAGCACAGCTGGGAGGGGAATGAAGGTTGTTTGGCCTGGAACCTCCACAAAATGGGAGAACTCACCAATAGGAGAAGGGGGCTGGCATAGCAGAGGGATATTCCAGGGTGGGATTATAGATGAGGCATGTTGAAATCCAGAAAGTCTGAAGCATAGCCAGGGGTGGCATAGTCCAGAGGGAAGTAATAAAAGGATATGAAGAAATTCTCAAAGGAAAAAATCCAAGTGATTAATAGCCATGTGAAAAAATGTTCAAAATCACCAATAATTAGAGAAATGCAAATTATAACAATGAATTTCTCTATCAGATTGGTATAGATGACAAAAAAGAAAAATGGGAGTTGCTGGAAGGGAACGTGGAGAAAAAAGGCACACGAATACACTGGTAGTAGTTTTGCGAACTGATCTAGCCATTATGGAAAGCAATGCCTCAAGTCACTAAACTGCAAACTTTTTGACCCCAAAATAACAATAGTAGGCCTATATTCTTAAAGATCCAAGAAAAAAGAAAAGGACTCCTATGCCCAAAAATATTTTTATCAGCTCTTTTTTATTGTGGCAAAAAAAACTGGAAACAAAGTACTAATCAGTTGAGAAATCGATGAATAAATAATGGTATGTATATGTAATTGGATATTATTGAACAACAAGAAATAATGAAGGGAATGTTTTCAGAGAAACCTGGGAAGAACCGTATAAACTTAGACTTGAGCAGAACCAAGAGAACATTTTATTCAGTAACAATGTCATATTTAAAGAAAAAAACTTTCAAAAATTTAAGAATTCTAATCAGTGTGATGAACAGCCATGACTCTAGAGGACTAAGGAAGCATGTTGCCTACCTCCTAATGGGGGGACTCAAGGGGCAGAATTAGACATACATTTTTGGTTATTGCAAATGCATGGATTCATTTTGCCTGATTATGCTTATTTGTTATGAGGATTGTGTTTTCTATTTTGTGTTTGTAGATGAGTTGGAGAAGGAAGGAAAGGAAAGTCATTGATAGTGCTGACAAAACAAAAAGGAAAGACAGAAAAGAGTTTCACTTGAACATTTTAAAAAATGCACCTAAGAAAACAAAAAAGAGTTTAGAAAGAAACAGACAAGTATTTGGGAAGTTCTGAAAGTAATAAATATGCTGAATTTATTAAAATATACGTTTGGTTTTTTTGGCAAGGCAATTGGAGTTAAGTGACTTATCCAGGGTCACACAGCTAATAATTGTCAAGTGTCTGGTCTGAGACTGAATTTAAACTCAAGTCCTCCTGACTCCAGAGCCAGTGCTCTATCTACTGCGCCACCTAGCTGCCCCTTGAAATAAGCATTTCAATAAGTTATATGTGATAGAGATTCATGTTTTCTAATATAATCATCTCTTTTTCTGTTCTACTTTGTACATGTAAATGTTCATTTTTTGCTATTATATTCAGAATAAAATAAAAATTAAAAAAGAAATAGTTAATTGTCCAGTGTACTTAAAATACTAAATTCACAAAAATCAGATATGCTATCACTAATAATAACTAGCATGTAGCCAAATTCTCTTTTACTTTCTACCTTCATTTCTTCATCCATTAAGTTCTGGATCTGTGAAAAAAACATTATATTAGGTGGTGAAATAAAAAACACTGCTTGATTCCTCTCAAAACCTGACCTGAAATCAGAGCTTTAGTTATTTGATCTACTATTCTCCTACTTAACTATTTTCTGGGCATAAAACAAATTATAGGCTTAATAATTAGTAAAATAGCATGGAGGCACAAGTGCCTAAATTCAGGAGAAATAAAAGCAGTAATGGTGGCAAAAAGTGGTATATCAAATGGGTTTTATCATACTAATAAATAATGACTATAAAGTCAGATTAACTGCTTAGAAATCTGTGAAGTGAACAGTTATTTTTAATATGGAAATTGGATTAAAACTAACAAATAATGAGTAAGAAATGTATAGATATTTATGACCTAATAATATGATTACGGAGTTCAAATCCAGCCTTAGATACTTATTAGTTATGTGACCTTGGGGAAGTTATTTAACCTCTGTTTGCCAAGGAGGCAGCGAGGTTACTAAAGTGCTGGGCCTAGAGTCAAAGAGACCTGAGTTCAAATCTGAACTCAGACACTTACTAGCTGGGCAAGTAAGCCACTTAACCTCTGGTTGCTTTAATCCATTACAGAAGGAAATGACAAACCCACACCAGTATCTTTGCCAAGAAAAACCCATGGACAGTATGGTCCACGAGGTCATGAAGAGTTGGATATTACTGTATGACATAACAACAACATGATTACCTAAAAGAATTCTTTGAAAGTGTAACTCAAGTTGTGAAAGTGCTACACTATACCAAATTCCATTCAACAAGTGCTTACTTTAAGCACCAAGGCATAGTGTAAGGCATAGTGCTAGAGTTGTAAGGCCCTTAGGCTAAGGATCTCTGCTAAAATTATGTTCCTACAGAGGAAGTCCATGTGTAATCGATCGCCATCACCAAACACTATAATAGCAAATGTTAACTTACCTCTGGGTGCTTGCGCCTCATGTGCCGACTCATTGACGCTCTGGTTGAAACTTTTGTTCCACATAACTGACAACTCTGAGCTTCTACTTTGTCATGAGTTAGCTGAATGTGTTTTTGAAGCATGTACTCTGTGACATACTTTTTTTCACACACAGAGCAGGTCCACTGTTTTCCCACTTCATAAGGAAAAAAATTGAAATAAAATACAGTTACAGATATGAATAGTGTGCTGATACAACAGAGTAATGCAAATTCAAACCAATTCTAAAATTCAGCAAACATTTATTAAATGCCTATTAAACAAGAGGATAGCAGAACGAATTAGAAACCAGAATCCAACAATATGTTGTTTACAAGAAATGCGCTTGAAACAGAAAGATATACATGAGAGTTAAAATAAGGAGCCTGGAGCAAAATATGTTATACTTCAGTTGAAGTACAAAAGCTTGGAGTAGCAATCATGATCTCACACAAAGCAAAAGCAAAACCAAATCTAATTAAAACAGATAATCACAGAAACTACATTTTGTTAAAAGGTTCCATAGACAATGAATTAATATCAATACTGAACATATATGTGCTAAATGGCATAGCATCCAAATTCTTAAAAGAAAAATTAAATGAGTCACAGGAGAAAATAGATGGTAAAATTGTAATTGTGGGAGGGCCTCAATTTACCCCTCTCAGAGCTAGATAAATCTAACCATAAAATAAACATGAAAGAAATAAATGAAACGAATAGAATTTCAGAAAAGATACGATAGACCTCTGACAAATATTAAATGGGAATAGGAAGGGTTATAACTAATTTTTAGCTCTGTGTGGCACCTTCACAAAAACTGACCATGTATTAGGGTATAACAACCTCACAAAGAAAAGCAGAAATATTAAATTTATCTTTGACCACAGTGCAATGAAAATTACATTCAATAAAGTGCCTACTAACAACGGGTAATTGCTGGGTTCATGAAAATGAAATGACACAGTCTGTGCCTTCCAGGACCTTATAATCTAATGGGGGAGCTGGGAATACAACATGGACACATATTACTAAGGTGGAATGTGACAGGGTAATTGAGAAGTCAAGGCCCTAGGAAAATGTGAAGTTGAAGAGATCCTTGCAGGGGAGTGGGGTGGGTAGAAGGAAGACTTGGGAATCGGGGAAGACGTCATGGTCATCTGATCTGATCTTTAAATGGAAAAAATTAAAATAGGCTAAGATGAAGGAGTATGTTCCAGCCTGCACAAGCACAGACATGAGAAAGTATAAGACAAACTTAGGAAACTGCTATTTTAACTGGAATTCAGAGATATAACACAAAATAAAGTCAAATGGTAAGTTGGAGTTGGACTGCAGAGAGCCTTAAATGGCACGCCTGCCTGTAAGAGTCCCAGCAGGTTTTTGACAAAGGGTGTAGTGACAGAGTCAAACTTGTACATTAGGAAGTAATTCTGGCAGTTGTCTGGGAGAAAGCCTGGAAAAAAGGAAAGACTGACTGGTAGCCTTTGAAAACAAGAGCTTACTCAGTCATGCTCATTACCACAAGTCAGTAAGGCCAATGCCTAAAAATCAGAGTACAGGTAAGAAAAAAAATCCAAAAAATATGATGTATTTTCTTTCACTGTAATAAAGTGCAGTATTGTGATACTAGTACATAAATATGGGGAAGATTTAAAAATAAAGGTGGATGATAAATTGTTTTCTTATTTAACATGCATACTATATAATCTAATCCTAATACATTCTAATATATCATGAATAACAATACTGTCTGTTTTTTTGTTCAGAAAAGAATATACTGTTTTCATTAAAGTGTTAGTGGGGGTCATCTGAATTAGCTGTAACATCCTTTAGAAATGTAATAGAATGATATTTACCTGTGTGAATTAGTTTATGGGTCTCCATTGTGTTTCTCTCACTAAAAGTCTTTCCACACAATTCACACATGAAATCTTTGATCCCTGTAATAGAAAGATACATTGAATTCCAGAGAAACAGTATGAGAAGAAGCTGGTTTAATAAATTGTAATGTGAAAAACAGCAGTAACTATCTCCTCACCAATTCACTTTAGAATTTGTAGATATCTGCTGGTGTTAAAAGAACTGTTACTGCTACAATGCAATTCAAAATGTCTGATTTATAGTTTGATAATCACATTTTTGGGTATATATAAGGATATGCTTACTGTTTAGGATTTTTATAACTGTAAAGAAAATTACATTACTTGTTAGTGAATGAATGCATGTATACACGTCTATATGTGGCTATACTGACGTTGAGGCTTTTGTTCCCTATTATTAAAATCCCAAAGTTCTCCTGCAACCCCCTGCCCCCATCTTGATTCATACAGAATTCCAAGCAAAAGCTGTAAACTTCAGATCAAAGGCTCCACTGTCCTCTGGGGCATACACTGAGATAATTTTCCTTGGTTTTGTGTTGTTTTGTTTTTTTGGCTAGGCAATGGGGTTAAGTGACTTGCCCAGGGTCATAGAGTGTGTATCTGAGACTGGATTTGAACTCAGGTCCTCCTGACTTCAAAGCTGGCATTCTATCCATTGCACCAGCTAGCTGCCCCTTGTGGATAACACACACACACACACACACACACACACACGTTATATATATTACACATACAGGATAAATTGAAGATAATCAATATTAAGGGGGATTGGGAAAGGCTTCCTGTAAAAGGTAAGATTTGAGCTAGAATTTAAAGGAAGCTGGGGAAGCCAGAAGTCAAAATGAGGAGGAAGAGAATTCAAGGGATAGGCGATAGCCAACGATAATACCCAAAGTCAGGTGATAGGGATCTGAACCAGGTGATAGCATTGTCAGAGGAGAAAAAAGGGAAAGCATACCAAAGACGTTATGAAGGTAAAATCAACAGACCTTGGCAACAGATTATAGATGGGGAGTGAGAAAGAGGAATTGAAGATTGCACCTCAATTTAGAGCCTAGGTGCCTGGGAGTAGTGGTATTATACCCTGATAATAACAGGAAAGAAGGAAGAGTTTAAGGGTAAAGATAAAGGATTCATGTTTGGATATGTTGAGTTTAAGATGTCAATGGGACATCCAGTTTGAAATGTATAACAGGCAGCTGGAAATGCAAGTCTATCAGAAAAGAGGTTAGGGCTGGATAAGTAGATTTGAGAATCATTAACTTAAAGATGATTTTTGAATTCATGGAAGCTGGTGCAATCACCAAGTGAAATTGTATACAGAGAGAAGAAAAGATGGCCTTTGACAGAGCTGACACTTTTAAATGTACAAAGTAAAAATACATAGGATTATAAATTACAAAGGAAACCAATTATATTGAAATAGTTATTGAAATGTTAAGAAAACAAGTTTATGAACTCGAAGTTAAGAACTTCCTCATTAAAAGTCAATTCCTAAGGATTTTGTGTTTGTTTTCCATTCATCTATACAAGTTAATATTCAATTTTTCTATTCTACCTCACTGGGAAAAACTCTGGGAAGATCTACTCTTTCCAAAAGTGTGATAATGTTCATTTCAACAAAAAAGTGAAATATTTTTATAGCACCCTAGTTCCTATTATACATTTCTGCATCATAAACAGGAGTTGAGAGATATGTTTTCTGGTCATAAACCTGCTATTCTGTATAGTCAATCACTGACCTAGCATCCCTGAAATGGCTAAAAATTGAAACATTACTAATGGTTGTCAGTGATGGGAGCTTTTCTGTATAAAAAGAGAAACCTGGTGAGCCATTTTTGTGATAACATGCCAATACTGGCAGCCCACTTGGGGTGCTTCAGCCCTCATGAGATCTTCAGGAGTTACCCCCTCATTAGCTGATATGGAAACACAGTCTGAACTCACCAAATAGCTGGTGAAGACACAAAATGAAACAGATCTCAGAAACATCCCATCCTATCTCCATCTTTCTATAAATCTTGGCTGGCTACAAAGAATATTCTTTAATAAATCTCTTTAGGATGATTTCTCTGTTCATAGTCTGTTCTTTCTTCCCTGGACATGGAGGTTAATTTATCACAAAATCATTTCTTTAAAGGTATTGCCAGAAAATGTAGGCAATAAAATGAATAGAAGAAGCTGATTGGTTTCCTCATTTCAATTATTTTCTTTAGAACCAAAAGTAACCCTATCTCATTTGTAAAAAATTATTAGGAAAGTAATTTATGTAAGTCCTAGAAGGACTGTCACTTAACTAATAGACCATAAACTTTAATTTCCAGACTTAAATTTATTTCTTGATTCAAATATAATAAGGGCCAAAGTTGTTAGGTTTCTGTCAGGCTCCCAACTGAATTCAATTCAATATTTATTTAAATTCCTACTACATACAAGACATTATGCTATTTACTCCTGGGGATAAAAAAAAGCAAATATTTTTTATATATTTTATTTTAAATGAAAATATTAAATATTTTAAATATTAACTCCTCAAGAAGTTAATATTTTGCTATAGGGATACAATATGTACATAAATATAATAAAAGATGGGACATGAAAGAGGCAAGGAAAATATTAGACAGTCTTTTCAGAATATCTGAAGACAGAGCACCAAAAACTGAGGGGAATCAAGAAAGGCTTAATGGCTGATTGGCATTTGAACAGAGGCAAATAAGGAAAAGACGCTAAAAGGCAGAGACAAGAAACACATTCTAGGAAAGAGGGATGACTTGTGTTGAATGCATGTCATATTTGTGGAACAGACAGTATTCCAAGTTGACTGGAACACATAGTGTATGGAGGGAGTAATAGGCCTGAAAAAGTGGATTAGAGCAAGATTAAATCCTTGGCTGAAGAGTAGGGACTTTATCCTAGGGGCAACACGAAGCCACCTAAGGTTTCATGTTGAGTAGAGAAATAACACAGAAGTTTGCATTCGGAAGATTATTTTGGCAGCTGTGGGAAGGATATATTAAAGAGGAGAGGTAAGAAGCAGGAAAAGGAGTTAGGAAGCTATTTCTATAGTCCAAGTGAGAGGTAATATGGGCAATGTTTAAGTATGGATAGGAAAAGGTGGATTGATATGAGAAATATCGTGGAAATAGAATTGGCAGGACTTCGTAACTGACTGGATGGATATGAGGGAACTGGGGCTATGGAAGGGGAAAGATTGTAGGATGATTTCAAAGTTACAAATATGCATGATTAGGGAAGATGGTCACTTCAATAGAAACAAGGAAAGTTGAGAAGAGAGGATTTAGGAAAGGAAGATACAGAAATCAGTTTTGAACAGGGTGAATTTGAGATGCTGGTAGGATATTTAGATTGAGAGCCTATGAGAGATCATAAGAAGACTTAGAGCTAAAAGGAAGGCTAAAGGTCATCTAGTCTAACTCCCTGATTTTTCAAATGAAAAACTAAAGTAAAGAGGTTAGGTGAAGATATCCAATAAGCAATTGGAGATGGAAAAAAATGGTATTCAGGAGAGAGATTAAGATTTGATATATAGATTTGGAAATCATCTGAAATACATGTAAGCGTATGAGATCACTAAGGAGAGAGCAAATCATCTGTTCTTTTCCATTCCTATTGTCACTACCCTAGACCTGATCTTCAATAACTACAGGTGGAATGATTAAAATAGCAATTTTATTTGTCTCCTTACCTCCAATTTCTAGTAGTCTATCCTGAAGAACAATAATAGATATCTGGTTACCAAGTACACGAAGGGGAAGAGTGTGGGTAAAAAAAGCTAAAAAGGTAGTAAAACATCTTTGGTGATGTACATGGCTTCAATTGTCACCTCCATGTAGATTTTTTTTCAATTTCAATCTAACATTGAAGCATTTGTTATGCTCAAATACCATATATGTGCAAGGTATTGTGCCAGGCTCTACAGCCAGGGGTCCATAATCTCTTTTTTTTTTTCTTTTTGGTGAGACAATTGGGGTTAAGTGACTTGCCCAGAGTCACATAGCTAATGAGTGTTATGTGTCTGAAGCTGGATTTGAACTCAGGTCCTCTTGACTTCAGGGCCAGTGCTCTATCCACTGTGCCACCTAGCTGTCCTTACAGCCTTTTTTTGTGTAACCAACTGCTTTGTGATTCTAAATCTGTGCTCCTGTGTTCTTCATGTTAGGAAGGTTATTTTGATGTGAATGTCAAGGATGGATGGAAAACCAAGAGAGAGAGGCAAGAGGTAGGAAGACCAGTTAGGAGGTTATTACAACAGTTCAGGTGAGAAGTTCTTAGAGTTTAAGGTAGAATGGGGTGAGTGGAGATAAAGAAGGAAGACAGGATTAGAATTGTCTGGAATGAGCAACTGACTGGATGAGAAAGGGAAGAATCAACAAAGATTCCAAAATTACAAATATTTTTATTGTATCTATAACTTTGGAATTACTTTTTTTGTCATAGCAAATAACTAGAAACAAAATAGGTGCCCATGAATGGTAGAACAAATTGTTTTAAATGAATGTACTAGAATATTATTGTACCATAAACAATAATGAAAGGAATAGCTTCAGAGAAACTAGGAAAAACTTCTATGAACTGATGCAGGGTGAAATAAGCAGAACGATGGTAATTTACACAATGACAACAACAATAATATGAAGAAAAACAACTCTGAAAGACCTCAGAACTCTGATCAAAGAAGCAAACAATAGTGACTAAAAAAATGATGAAACATCCTTCCCACTTCTTGACAAAAAAAATAATGGAATAGAAATGCAGACTGCGATATGCAGTCTCAGACAAGGCCAATTTGTTGATCTATTTTGCTGGACCATACAAATTTTTTTTTCTAAAACAAAGGCTTTTATGGGTGAGGAATTAGAGTGTGGTAGGTTAGTAATGATAAACAAAAAGTGCCTCAATTTTTTAAAAAAATGCATACATGAAAAAGCAGAAGGGGGCACAGAAATGTTATATTACTAACTTGTTAAATTATATCTTTATATATGTTAATTAAAGAACAAACTTCATTAAAAAAGTTCCATTTCCTCTACAAGCCTCAT